GAGCAGGATGAATGTATGTGTTGGTTTATAGAGTCCTGCAGTCAGTGAGCCAATAAAAATGTCATTATAACAGCCAGAGTGTTAAGGTACATGGAGAGAGATCTAAGCCTGAGCTGTGCTGTTTCCTGAGCACTGCTTTGATAAATACACTTTTGGATCTGCCACCAAAGTATTAGAATGTAATAAAAAATCCAATGCAAGGAAAAATTAACCTGCAAGGGAAAAAATCCCAATGTGAATCCTTCTGTATAAATATGCAATTCAAATTTGGGTGGGGTTTTTCAATCTAGAAGATATAAAATATTCAACCCCTTTTCTGCTTCCTTCCTCTTTATGAGAAAATCAATAAATGGGGACAGGGGGAGATTCTCTGTACTAGAACCAAATTTGTTTTGCTTGACTCTTTTAACAAACCACCCTCACTTACCAGAAACACAAATGCCAAAATTTTTTTTCCTAAGCTGTGATTATTTCCTCTGATTTTAATTCAGCCTTAGGGCTGATGAATTGTCTTGAATCCAAAACAAGATGAAGAATAATTTAGGGATTGACACTCCAATTTCAAATGTTCTTCTTATCCATTTCTTTACATCCTTCCTTTTTCCCTCTTGCCCTTGCTTCAAAGTCAAGCCAAACTCACAATTTTTCTTGCTTTTGTTTTGAGACCTGTTAAACTCCCTTGGTTTTTCCTGTGGTTTTCTATTGGATTTGGAGCTGCTTTCAGTTTGTGGTTCAGTGCCAGTTCCAAGTGGCCTGGGGATTACAAATGCCTTGCCACCAAAACAAAGGAATCTGCTTTGTGAACTCTGGCAAAGCTAAACCCTTCCTATTTCCAGTCAAGAGAGTAGGCCCTTGAAAAAAAGAACTGCAGATCTTAGTTTCAGTGTGAAAATATAAGACGATTTTTTTTCATTGTACGATGGAGTGATTCTTTCTTTTCTTCCCTCTCCCTGTTCCCCATATGACCACTGCTACCTCTTGTAGAAATGGAATCCATTGGAAATCAACTCCTGGGGAAAGGGAATGGTTTGGAAACCTTTCAAAAAAGACTATCAAAAAATACACTTTCAGACTCATGGGTTATTCCTTTTGCATGTCTGTGTGGAAAGTTCTGCAGCCTGACAGGTTTATTTGGGTTCATTTATTCTTTACTTAGATACAACTCTTCTTGTCTGGCCTCACAATACTAAGGTCATCGCTGGAGGCCCTCCAGCATCTTCCTCATCCACATGGAAGATGCTTCCTTTTTATTCCTTTTGGCCACTGATTCTGACAGCAGAACCCAAGTTACCAGCCTTGATTTTGTTATCTACTGTTCTTTTTGTGTCCAGCTTCCCTCATTAATTATGAACATATAACCCTACATATATATATTTAAGACACATAATGGCCCTGAGATTAACTCAGCTGGTTAGAGCACAGTGCTAATAATGCCAAGGTCATAGGTTTGATTCCTTTATGGGCCATTCATTTAAGAGCTGGACTTGATGATCCTTATGGGTCCCTTCCAACTCAGAATATTCTGTGACTCTGACCTTTCCTGTCAGCCAGAGAGTGCTGGGAGCACTGACCTCCCCCACAAAGCTCCATGACCATGTAGTGAAAACAAAAGTGGATCTTCTTTTTTATAATTCATAGACCATCTGTTTAGCTTTTAAAAGAAGAAAAACAAAAATATAGGATTCACACTAGTTAATCTCCACACCTTTACAAAAAAAAAAACCAAAAAAAATCCAAACAAAAAAAAGACCCTTAACCACAAACAACTTAAATGCAACTCATGAAGGAGAGCCCTTGTGTTCACAGGGTCCTGCAAACAATTGGAAGGAAAGAACTGCATACCTGCCAGCACAGCAGCTCTATGGGCTTCTGTACTGATCCTCTTTGTGATCCCCCTTCCTAATTTCTCCCTCAAGCTGTCACCTTTTAGAGAGCCTCTTTATGCTCCAGACCCCACAAGGAAGGGAAGACAACAAGAAAAAGTCAGCACAGATGCATCACCTGCTCAGAGGACTGAGTGATGAAATCCATACAGCTGAGGAACAGCTTGCCCAGCACAGGGTGGAATGGCTCACAATTTCAACAGAGTTCAGCTCCCAGACTTCTGCCTCAAAACTGAGACAAACAGGCTGCTCAAACTACCGTTTCCTTTTGCACATAACTGGAGTATAACTGACTAGATCAAAGGAAGGCTGCTGCTGCTTCAGTCACTGGCATTCCAGCAGAAGTTGCCCTTTCCTGAATTAGCAGCAGTAGCACTAACCTGAGTGGCTGGTGAAGAAGCATTCATAAAGCTTTCAAGTCTATTGCTGTTGGCTTAGTGAGGGCTTTCTTCATCTCAAACCTGAATAGATTTATTGTCTCGGTCATGGAGTGTGAACAAAAGTGATAGTACTCACCAGGCACTTAGTTTCCTCAATTCTACTCAATTCTAATTGTAACTAATGAAAAGAATACTACATTTTTAGGTCCTGGTTCCAGGAAGCATTTTAAATAGAAGTAGCCTCCAGCGCTGTTCAAAATACAATCTAAATAATGCAAGATTGTTAGGAGAAAATACAGCACTATTAAATAGCACCAAGTAATGGACAACTATTCAAAGTCATTATTCTTGATTAGCCTAGATCATTATCACTGAGCACATGTGACCTTACTTGTACTCAGTAATACTTATAGTCATTCAAGAAAGTTAAATAATCATTAGTGATTAATTACTATTGATTATACTGAGTGGTTGTGTAATATTTTGTGGATTTTCAGTGCTGGAAGCATTGAAACTTGCAAATACGTTTTGTTTTCTTCCTAGAAGAAAAATAACTCTTTTCAGGACCCAGTTTCGGAGGAAGTTGACTTATGTCCCCTAAGCCATATAGATATTTCTGAAAAGCCCATCCCCAAATGATGGAATTTTTTTCGGTCCAGAGAATTTTTCTTTCAGGTAAAATAACATGTTTTGTGCAGTTTGTGAGGATGAGACTTTATTATAACCTCTCAGCTGAAACGCATCATGGCAGCGTGCAAAGTGAGCCTTTCCACTGAGAGGTGAGGGAATGGAGAAAATATCCACCAATTTTATTACATAAATGTACAGGTGGCATTTAGAGGAGAAGGGAGTAGGATGGACAAAGTCTGTGGTTCTGCCAAATACGTAGCACTAATGATGCTGAAAATGGGAGGTTTCTGAGATTGCCTGCTGATTTGCCTTGCAAATGCCTCTGTCTGCCAAAACCTGCTCATGACACACCTTTGACAAGAACCCATTTACAGTGTTTTGTCAGCACTTGTTTAGCACGAGGCTTCGAGCTGTGATGAAGTGTCCCTGTAGACCTTTTTATTTTCTTCCCAACTACAGGCTCACTTGACAGAGTGAAATATAGAAACGCTGCATAAGAATAGATTTGTCACGGAGCAGGTTGGATTTTTTTTTTTTAATTACAAGCATTGTCATGGGTCTAGTTGGAGGGAGTGAGCAGCCAGCGTTGTTAGTGTCGGGGTGTGACTGATGGATCACTTTCCAGGTGCACGGGGCACCCTCTTGTCTCAGCTAAATCAGTTTGCAGCAGAGCTGTGATGGAAGAGGCAGTGGCAAAGCCAAGATACCTCCCACAAGAGCTCTCCACAGCTCCCTTCGATGGGAGCACGACTGGTTCACTCCTGGCTTTTCTGGTTGTGGTGCAATCAGTTAAAATGACAAGATGATGCATGACAAGAGGAAGAACCCCATTATATTGTGGGTTGTTCTCTTAGCCTGCTGTGGCACAGAGTGAGTGAGGGGCAGAGCTGGCAGCCTTGGCTGCAGCCATTCTGTGCAGAGTGCCAGTGCCTCAGAGTAACATCATGGCAAACACCGGTTTGGGGGGTTTATTGTGTGTCTGATAGCTCTGTTAAAGCTGCAAGGCTGAAGGAATTTAATTTAATCCTGTTTTCATGATTGTGCAACATGGGAGCTGAGCTGGTTGTGTTTATTCTGTCCTGATATTAAGAAAAACTGGGCGTAGCAATCTGCTCCCTGGATTTAGCTGTCAGGGATCTTTGGTGCCCTGGGTCCCAGCAGGCACTGAGTCCCTGTGGCCAGAGAGGGATTCTGGAGAGCTAGTTTTCCAGACAGAAGCTGCACCCATGCTGGAGGAGGGAAATGTGAGAAGGAAGAGGCGACAGGGAGGAATTGATACTATGAATGGACCACTCCCCATCCCCACCTCCTGCACCAATCAATGAGGGAGGGAGGGTAGAGGAGGAAATAAAAGATATGAGGGAAACATGTTTTAGCTTTTTTATCTTTCTTACCACCAAACCTATTATAATTCACAATTAATTGAAAAACATTTTTTTTTTGCGAAGTCTGTTTTGCCTATGACATTAATTGGTGAATGATCTCCTTGTCTTTCTCTTGACCCATGAGCTTTTTCATTTTATTTTCTCCTCCCCATCCTGTTGAGGAAGTGAGGGAGCAGCTGGATGGGTGGCTGGCAGCTGGTCCAAGTCGACCCACCACAATATCATCTGCTGTAGGATTTTGTACAGCAGTTCCTTCTGAGCGAGAAATCCTTCCTGCATGATGTGCTTTAACACCCAGCACATAACCCTTCTTCTCAAACGTGCAGCACTGAGTACTATGGTGAAATCTCCTGATGATGGGAGAGAAGGAGGGTGAGGAGGACTGCATGGGAAGAAATGGGAAAGTGAATCCTGGCTGACATTTGAGATGCCAACAGGTTCCTGTGTTCATAGACTTGCAAGTTTGAAAGAGCTGCTGTGTTGGGTTGGATCACTTGTCAACAAAACTTCTGCAACGTTGTACATAGTCTCCATAGTAAATCAGAAATGAGCTTTTACATTTTCTATAATTCCTTTGTGTTGGAAAGATACAGTATGACTGTGACTATTTGAAACACTCAAGTGTTTGTGAAGATGAGAGCTTAACAAAGAAACTTACTCTGTTGAAACAAACGTGATAGAAAGAAGGCAGGATGAATGAAAACATCTTTCTGTCCCTGCAGAAACTCAACATACTGCATGAAGGTGTCCATGTCCTTGACGGTAGCTGAGAATGAATCTGGGCTTTGCTACAACAGCAAGATCAGATATCTGGAAAAATCAGAAGTCACCAAGAGAAAGACAATCTCCTGTCCTGATATTGAGGATTACAAAACAGCCAGTCAAGAGCCAGATGTGGTGTGGTACAAGGTAACTACTGATGACTCATTGTTCTTGTCTTTCATTGCTGAAATGACAAACTAGTTAAATCCTAAATTTGGAGTGCTTGATTTGCCAACCTTAATAACATTCTTTAAAGACAGTTATCTTGTGTGAAATAAGTAACACGTGCAGAGCAGCTGGGTTTTTTCATCCTTAGCAGGTTCCATCAGAAAAGAGCAATTATAAAAGTTGTTGTTTATTTCTACTTTTTATAAAAATCTCACATGTTCTATCTCATAGTAATAAAATGTGTGCCATAACCCACTGTTAGTGCAAACAAAATTTTCTTTCAGCTGTTGAAGCTCTTTCTCTCAGCATATGGGTGGTTATCTTCAGTGTAGTTCATATGTCAAACATATGTATTTAGTTAGTCATAGATATCCTATGTTGGAAAGGGTACACAAGGATCATCAAGTCCAATTCCTGGCTCTGCAGAGGAAGCCTGAAATCTTGAAGAAAAGCTGCTTCTTGCCCTATCTGCCTAGGTATTGCTGAACACCAGGTCACTCATTTTCTGCAAGAACACACTGAAAAATAGTCTGGCAGGAATAATCTGTACTTGTGATCAATGAAACACCATCAGACAGGACAGTCATGGTGCAAGCCCACTGCGTGCAGGACTCGCTCTGGCTTCCAAAAGGCTTCTCTGTGCTGAGGGATTAATGAATCTGAGCCAATAATTGCATCAATTTACAGGGAGTTAACTGTAATTTAAACATGCTCTTAGTTATGCCTGAATAGATTTTTCCATGCACACCCGGTAAGTAATGAAACATTTGCTGTGAGGATTTGTTATAACAGTAGTATGAACTTCACTTCTGGCTAGAATTACATTGTGTGAAATAGTTATTTTCAAAGATTTCCTCAATTAATGCCATTGATATATACGGAACTCTGTTATGCCTCTTAAAACTGTTTTGACAAGAAGTGTGAGGATTTTTTTGAAGTAAATGAATGTGTCAAGGCATGATTGAATGAATGGGATTTAAGAATAAAGCAGTTTCATGAAAAATCAACTGGCAGAGGAAAAAGGTATATTACATCTTGACTGTGGAGTCTTAATCCATTTCTGTCATCTCTTTTCCACAACTGGGTTGAAGGAAGGGCTGTGAGAACAATCAAAATGTTAGGTGAAGGACAGGTGATTGTTATCTACCCTAGAAAAATAGAGTTGTTCAGGTGCTGCCACCAACACTTCAAGGAAGAGAAATGGAGCATAATAGCGCACAACTTAATTACTGGGGGAAAAAAACCAACAAAAAAACATTTAAGATGTCTAAGGAGAATGAATAGGCTTGGAAAAGAAACTTTCAGATTCTTCTGGCAGGTAAACATAATGCAAAAGCAGAAAAGAACAATTAATTGGTTAAAGGTTTCAGGGAGACCTTAGAGCACTTTCCAGTACCTGAAGGGGCTTTATGAGAAGGCTGGAGAGGGACTTTTCACAAGGGCATGACCTGAAGCTGAAGGAGGGTAGACTTAGATAAGGTGTTAAGAAGTTCTTCCCTGTGGAAGAGGGTGGTGAGGCAGTGGCACAGGTTACCCAGAGAGGCTGTGGACTCCCCATCCCTGGAAATGTTCTAACAAAAGTTAGACTGGGCTTGGAACAACCTGGTCTAGTGGAAGGTGTTCCTGCTTATGACAGGGGGGGTTGGAATGAGTTGATCTGTAAGGTCCTTTCCAACCCCAACTATTCTGTGATTCTATAAAATGAGTCATACAAGTGAGCACTTATCTTCTAGAGAAATTAGCACACCTCTGACAGTAAAATCTACATTGTTTTCCCAATATGAAGACTAGGTAGAATTTTGTTTGTTTCTCAGCTGTTTTTGTTGCTAAAATGCAAATTGTGTACAATTTTCCAACTTCTCCTCTTTTTTGCTTTTAGTTTTGTTTATTAAATATATAAACAGCCATTTTCAACATATTTTTATAAAGCCTGCGTAGTCAATAGAAGACAAATTAATTAGCTGAACTTTGGGAAAGAAAGACTTATAAATAATTTTTAATATGAAGTGTTCTAAATAGATACAAAAAGAAATAATTAGGAAATCAGTGGTATAATTCACCAGAACAGTTTCTCTCTGTAAAAATATAATAGCACATTGTTTGAGCTAAATCATTAATCTCTGTAGTAGTAAAGGTGTTGCCCTTCTCATTACAAACATGTAGTACATAAAAATATAAAGCACATTAAAATGTATCTTCCATCTCTTTGCTACCATACTTTTAAAAATAAAGTAGAGAATATAAAACTGGTAACACATGATAGGGAATCTCAGTGCTGCACTAAAAGGTGCATATCTGAAATATGCTTACTTTGTGTGTTCTGGGAATTGTATTCCTTCTAAATTAGGATTGAAGAGAACAGAATCATATTCTTTGGCCAGTGTTCAAATTTAGTAACTCCAAGTAGGTGGTTGATGTATCTTGCAATAGACCTAAAATATCAAGCACAAATCAGAAAGGACTTAATGGCCTTTCCTGGCTCAGATCTGTGTCCTGTGTGAACCTCAAGCGATGACAGTGCAATTTAGTAACAAAAATAAGCTCTGATTCTCCTTAGCGCAGCAGATAGGATCTGGATTTGATCATTCTCTATCACTGCTGTTAACTAAACTTCACATGCAAGGCAAGATTACACTGCCCTTACAGCTGTACTTTGGAAACAGAGATAACCTGATCACTCTGTGTCCTGCAGTAGTATTGCACAGCTTCAGAAATTGAAATCTGACCACACTGTAACTGGATTTGGCCTCCTAGGGATAGGGGTAATTCTTCGGTGCTCCATTTTCAAGTGCAGGGCCAGAAGCTCTCAGTCCTCTCTTTTTATTTCCCCATTGTTATGCTTCAATTTAGAATCTGACGTGGATTTGGAATGCACATGGAGTCCCATGAAAAATTTATGTTTGTGTCATTCTGATCTCTTGCTGTGATACAATATATTTGCATGTTTTCTTGTTTGGTTGTTTTCTTAAGAGAAAGCTTTGTTCTATTTTGTTTTCTCTGTTTCTGACACTGCTGTTGCAGATGAGCAGAAAATGGGGCAGAGGTCTGGGCATGTCACCAGTCTCTGAAGTTGCTAAGCCTGCTTTAACTGATGCAAGACTGTTAGTTACAGTCTGAGAGCTTATTCTAGGTTGTCACCTTGAGAGAGGGAGTAGAGGGGCATTGAAGGTACTCAGGCCCTGTGTTGCTTTTTGTTTTCTGAGTACAGAATTAGCCAGAGCCTGCAGAACTGTTGGGGGGGGGGGGGTACTCAGTGCTCAGGGAACTGAGAAAAGCATGATTTTGTTGCAGGCAGAACAGGTCTGATGTTAAAGATATTTAGAGACAGTAAGTGTATAATCTTAAGGTGCCATTTTCAAGAGACAGTAATCAGGTTGGGCCCCTGCTTTTGGTTCAGAGCATTCCAGAACTATCCCATCATGAATACAATTCATGTGGAAGGTGACTGATCTGCCTGCAAGGATATGGTTTGTTAGGAAAGGGAGAGCCTCTTCTAACACTGTATCACCCCCTCTACAGAAGGACTCAAATGCTGTTCCAGTAGGACTACAGTTTGTAGGGATGAACCAAAATCCGCCAAACAACAGCTAAGGACTGCCTGGGGAAGTCCATGGGAGTTGCAGGCCATCAGTACCATGTACTGCATCAGAGGACATGTGGGGGTGATATTACATAGAGCCTGGTGAGGGGGAAAAGCTGAATCAAAGCCCATCAGGTGCTAGAGAAGCCAGTGATGAGAAACAAGACTGTTAGAAAACCAGGTTTCTGAATTCTCTTGCTCACAAAACCGCTGTTCTTCCTGTTTTCTTCTATTGGTAAATGGTTTTAGCCTGGGACTATGTGTAAAGTTTGCCTCCGGGCTAATTTTTAACAAATCTTGCCCTTACTCCCTTCAAACAGAGATATATTTTAATGTCTGTCCTAAAGTAGAGGTCTTGGCAGTTGTTATCAAGAAAAAGAGAAGATACTTAACCATTGCTTAAGGGCACCATGTATTAAACACAACCTATGCAATGCAGTGGGAATGACTGAACCTTAAAACCACTTCTGTTTAATTCTAGTCTTTGCATTAATTCCAGTTTCAGGACTCTGTGCTTTCTGAAATTATATTTGAATTTTAATTGCAAAATATATCAAGGTGATTGTTTACTTGTATATTTAATACTGACAATCTGATCAGGCAACACTGTCATATGTTGTACAAGCCGAGTAATTTTGGCAATGGTTTTTTTTCTGCAGGAGTGTAAGCCAAAAATGTGGAGAAGTGTTGTAATTCAGAAGGGAAATACTCTCTTAATTCAAGAGGTCAAGGAAGAAGACGGAGGAAATTATACCTGTGAACTAAAGTTTGAAGGCAAGCTTATACGAAGGACAGTTGAATTGAAGGTTACTGGTAAGAATCTTTGTTCTGTGCCAATAGAAGAAAAGAAAGCTTTGAAACAATAAGAAAAAGTGGGTTTCACATGTCAGTGAATCTGTTTGATAGAAGTAAGTCCAAAGCAAATCCCAGTAGCTGAGCAGTCCAAAACTCAGAGAAATTTATATCAGTATCTTACAGAATTTCACAGAAGAGTATTCCTACTTTTCTCTCTGTACAAAACCTGGAAATGCTAGTTATAAAGCAAGAGGTAGACCAGACCTAAGTTCTCCATATACACTGGAATTAACTCAGACTCCACTTTTGTCTTCAGAGCTGAATGGAGGAAAAGTTGACTGAAGCTGTAAAACAGGCTTTGGGTGAGGCTTTTTGTCCTGGAATAAACACAAGCAAAAGAGACATCTTCAGCCATTAGGGTTTTTTTATAAGTGATTGTTCCATATTTTTAAGCTTTGGTTTAATTTACGATGATCAGCTTCTAGCTTCAGTCCGTGGTTTGTCTTTGGTGAAGTGTATGGCACAATGTTTTCAAGGAATGAAGTTATGAATGAACATTGGACTGTCAAGGGAAAGTAACCTGCTTATGGGGAGGTCATACACTATGTGGTTCTGACCCCATGTAATATCTACTAGACAAGAGTGTTTTTCTGTCTCTTTTTGCCAGGTACCAAAAATGAATAGGTAAAAAAGTATTGTCTACCAATATAGTCCTGTTCCCTTTCCAGTCCACTGTACAATATGACATCTATAATTATTATTTTGCCTTCCGTGTCTGTAGAACTTTGCAAGTATCTGAAAACCATTGAGATTTTCTGCCGCCTTTCCCACAAAACCATATAAACAAATGGTTAGGTCTTTTTCCCAAGTGTATTTCAACATACTCATTAAAATGGGGTCCTACTTAAAGCAATGTGAAGTAGAATTCCAGTTTCTTATATCAAACTGAATTAGTCCATATGACGTTTCTCATATGTTCTTGAAATAAAATTCTTCCCTTTATTTTGAGTGGAACCCACTTTTTTATTTTTATCATATTCCTCATTTTCAATGACTTCTTTTCCCTGTGTGCCATATTTATATGTCATGTGACTATTGTCCATTTTTGACCATGGGCAGATCTCTTCAATATTGATTCGACCCACCTGACCCCAGACCTGTCAAATAAAGATATAATACCTGCCTTGTGGATAGTTGCTGCCCTAAGTAGCATGCTGGTCTTCAACCAGAATGTGAACTAAGTTTGACAAAGTGAAAATGAGATGCATTTAATTCAATTCCCCATGAAGGATAGTCTGTGCTCTCCCTCTCATCATGACCTTGCTAGAAGTCATGTGTTCTCTGCATTATTTAAACACTGTGGTATATTCATACTTCAGAATTTAAGGAATTTATCTTAAACAAGATAGAGTATTTATTAAAGCTATTTCTTTTATTTAAAAAATTACCACCTGAATTATTTAAAATGTGAATATGAGATATGTGTTCTCCTTTTTGCAAAATGCTTGAGAAGCAGATTTTCCCCCTTGTAATTTGGTGTGAAGTTCATGCTGCATTAAGTTTTGTTTCGTTTATAAAAGCACATATGTTAGTAAACACCTTTTCCAGATGGAAATGTTTGGGAAACATATCTGGTGTTATGTGTTTGCTGGTAGAATCTCTGTAGATAGCTGAAATAGGCTAGTAAGTTTATGTAGATGACAACCTGAAAATATGGATACGAACTACAAATGTAATAGATGGAACCATGTAAGCATATTATCTCACAGCTTGTGATTGAGCAAATTTCTTTCTCCTGTTCGTGTTTTGTTTCAGTTTGTGAATTTTATGTGCATATGGGTTTAGATCTTTGTAGGGGAGAGGTCAGTGAAAACTTGTACAACAAACAGCCAAGCCAGGTGGAGGGGCATGAGGTGGGTCAGATCACGGACTGGGAGCAGGTGATGTACTCAGGGACTTTATTGAATAGTAAGTCTCATGGGAGGCAGAAAGTAAACTATATAGTGGTGCAGTTGTTGACACACATCCTGAGAGTTGGACTACACATGGGTACTCTGTGGGGCTGGCAATGTTCTTGTGCGGCTGCGACACCGGATCAAGTGGGTTGAGTGTGATTCAGATAACAAAGGACTTCAATGGCTGTAGCTCTTGGGGGTTGTAAGGGAAAGGCTTGCAGCCTGGAATATATTAGAAAAATATTTTGACACTAAGTATTTAAAGGGACAAAATCCTGAGCTACAATACAGCACTAATGAGCATTGCCTAAATCTTGGTGTTTGGGTGCATTTAACAATAATAGATTGTCAACAAAACATCTTTTTCATCACTAGTTCTTCATGGGTTCGTTACATTATGCAGACAGATGTGAAACAAGTCTTGTCAGCCATTTTTTGCTGAAGACACATGACAACAGTGTTATTTCTTAGCAAATAACATGTAACCCTTCAATCTATATTAAAAGAAATAAATACAATTTCACTTTGCTTCTTGTTGTGGACAAAAAGCAAGGTTAGCAACTATGATCTAGCGTTCTAAAACCTAAAAATGTAACAGAAACTCCATTTTTAATTAGATAATAAATTAGACTGACCCCATATAGAAAAAAAAGGAATGCATTAGTATAAAGTTAATCTATAGTTAAGCTACAATATCAAAATTTATTAAAATTACAGCTATTCAGGAATATCAGCAACCATAAGCATGTTAATGAGAATTGTTAAATGCCGGTGTTTACTGAAGGATGATTATACTATTCAGATTAAAAAAATCCCAAACATAAAAAGTCACATTGGTTTTAAAAGGCAATTTATGCAACCTTCTGTTTTCCCCAGTTCACCAAGCAGTTCATTCTGTTTTGATACACAGCAATGTTTTAGTAGCTGCAGGGGTGAAAAGGTGCAATTGTAAAAAAAACACCTGCTACGTTTACCTGCTGCTTCTGCCCTCTTTTTGTTTTTGACCACTGATCTGTAAGGAGACAGGCTGAGAAGATGTATTTTGGAGGTTTGGGAAAGGGTAACCCCCCTAAGAAAGGATAAAAACCTGTTCTTGTGGGGTGGCCCAGTTGTCCCCTGGCACATGGGGCAGTTTTGCAGGGATGTGCTTTTTCCATGGATAGCTATGCTAGTGGGAGAGTTGCCTTGTTCTTTCTGTTGCCTGTGAAAAGAGGTGATTTGTGAACTTGTACTGGTGAATTATTTTCCAGTTTGACAGCAGAAGGTGGCCATCTGACCAACTTCATAAAGTGCTGGTGATGGAGTGGAGTGATATGCAGGAATTACTGGACCACTCCATCCAGCAGCCCTGTCCTCCAAGTTTCCTTCAGCCTCTACTCTGGCATACTCTTCATAGGCTGCTAAAATGCCTGGCTGTTCCTAAAAGTCATTTATGCAGCAATATTTGTTTTGACCGTCGTAAATGACAAATTATTCCACATGGCTACATGAATTGAATGATTCCGCCTGAATTCACTCTTTGCTCACAGTTTTTCAATTAAATTCTTTCAAGTCTCATTACGTTGCTCACTTTTCAAATTACACCTGCTGCTGTTGCTAGATTTTGTTTGTGGGTTTGGGACCCCTTTATTAGCACAAGCAGTTGATGGCAATTTGCTATTGTTAAGCCAAGGGGGTGAATTGGATTTAGAAAGGCAAACGATTAGTTGTACTTTCCAGAAGCTCTAGGGATGTACAGTGAGAAGCTACCACAGAAAAAGTGAGGATGAGCTAAAAGTATGTCCACTGATCGGTGGTAGTTTCTTTTCTGCACATTTTTAATGCTCTGCAAACTGGCTATACCGTTTTACATTATTGGAAGTCTGGTGACACCTTGGCAGCAATCACTGGGTGCTGATCAGTACAAATTTACATCTGCAGTAATCTGTAGTGCACTCTAATCCTTATCAATTTACAGTAGATAAAGTATTGCCACCACAATCATACAACTGACATGTTGACTGACAACATTTTTGGCTGTTGACAGTTTCCAGAACAAACAAAGCAAGAAGTGCTAAGACAAATTAAAAGCTTATTTAAACTGAGCTGTAGCTGTCCTCTGGAATTCAGACTTTTATAAGGGATTTATAGAACTTGTATTTGCTTAAAAATCTGAAAAGGTGTAGTTGTGACTCTCTCCCAACAGCCCTGTGCTTTGGCACAAGCAGTTTAGTAATCTGCAATGAATTTATGGAATGGTTCAGTGTTGCTTAAATAGTTACTTATCCAAAAACCCAGTTTATCTCTGAAAGGTCACTGAGCTCTGAATATCACTCTGTAGACGTACATAAAAGCAAGGCCAGCATAAGACACAAGTTAGAAAAGCAGGTGGCTGAGGAATAGGAGCAGATGAAGTGAACATATTCAGCAGTTTTCTGCAGTGACAGGTCCTGTGCTAAGGACGTGCCTGTCGCACAGAGCTCTGCTCTGTAGGGATTCCCGAGTTAGCTCAGAAGGAGCTTTTCCAGCAGAGCTAGTTAATATGTTTGCATGGCTTTTGGTACCCAAATTAACTCTGACATCTCTGCCTGGCATTGCACTCTGTGGAGAAGGCAGAACCTCCAGGTCCTGGTGGAGGCTGGACACACTCTCACTCTTCCATTGTTGCCTCATATTCTAAGCTTCAGAGCTTTTTCTTTGGGGATGGGATGAAATAGCTGTTTTAACTCTGTTTTGTCATCAAATAAGGCAGTAACGTGTCAATTAGAGCACTGTGTGCAAATAACATTAATTTCAATTTATGTAATTTTAACATCAAAGATCATATTGCAACATTTTGCATTTCTTATTTTGTTAAGTCAAATGATTTCTTTCTTATGAGCAGAGATGTTTTAATTTCATTTGTGGCTGCATAATTTACTAACACATATAACTACTAATGTATATTACTGGAATTTTTCAGCATTTCTGAAATGAGATGTTTTGATAGTTCTTATTAAAAAATTTTTGATTGGTATTTCAGAGGATATTTCTTGTGCAATGCCTAAATTTTCACCAAATGTAGTCCTGGCAGCATTCAATATC